ACCGGGGCGCCCGGGCACCTGGGCACCCGGGCGCCTGGGCACCTGGGCACCCGGGCACCCGGGCACCTGGGCGTGCCGCCGAAATCGGCGCCACCCCTTGACCTAACCATATGACTCCGGACCCCCACAGTGGCAAGCTCTGGCTGGGGAATGAATCCGCTAGGACCCCTACAAAGGCAAGCTCTGATTTGGGAAACATGGTGCGACAACTGCATATCTTCCCCAGCTTTGCCTGCGGCTGTTCTGACTGCGCAAAACTGCACCTACTCTTCCACAGAAATCGCGCGTTCTTGGTGAGATGGCTGGGAAGCCAATTTCTTCGCGTCTCGCCAAAAATCTGTCGCCCTATCATCCTTGTTGTCGTCGTCGAAGACCTGGCTGTAGTTTCTGCTTTGGTGCCTCGCTCGGGCGGCTGCTTTGTCGGGCCTGAATTTCTACCGGGCCATGCAAGCCATGCTGGCGAACAAAACCATGAACTTATCTGGCGAGTCCAAAGGGGGGATGCTTGGATCGACTTGCCGTTCGAAGCCGTGAAATTCACGAACGACGCTCTGGTAGAAGTCCGACTTGTGTTGCTCCAGTCCAGCTCGTAGTAGGATATCTTGCGTGGTGTCCATGAGAGTAGCCCGCGCGGACAAAGCTATCGTCTGCGTGGGTGCCTGGGAAACGCCGCCCCGAACCGGCGCGAATTCGAGGTCCACGTCGGCGAGGTTTGGGACTTGGGGGCATCGCCGCTGCACGGTGACGCGAGGAGGATAGGTCACAGGGGAACTGCTGCGGCCCGAGGCCTTCCCGCACGAACAACGAGTTGAAGTTCACTGCGATGCCCAAACACAGCACACTGAACAGCGAGTGCCGTTTGACCCTTGAGGGTGACCCGCGCGAACCAGTATGCGTGAGCGTGGTAGCGGTCAGCTGAAGCACAGCGCCCGCAGGTCAACAGAACAGCGAACTGAGCTCGACCGGTCTTCTGCGATTGTTGCGCGCGCGGCCAGAGTAGGGGCGGCGGTGCCAGATGGCGCGCCGGGAGGGTGCGTTGGAAGGGCGCGCCAGGAGGGCGCGCTGGGAGGGTGCGTTGGGAGGGTGCGCTGGGGAGGCGGACGGCCCGAAGAAACGCCCTTTGGTGGCTCCGTATGTGTGTTGTGTGTTGTGTGTGTGTGTGTGTGTGTGTGTGTGTGTGTGTGTGTGTGTGTGTTTTGTGTGTGTGTTGTGTGTGTTGTGTGTGTGTGTGTTGTGTGTGTGTGTGTGTGCGTGTGTGTGTTGTGTGTGTTGTGTGTGTTGTGTGTGTGTGTGTGTTTGTGTGTGTGTGTGTGTGTGTGTGTGTGTCTGTGTGTGTTGTGTGTGTGTGTGTCTGTGTGTATGCGTGGAGCGGGGGTTGGCGACGGGGGGAGAGTCCTGGTGGATCCCGAGGGATCCTTTGGCGTCCTGGGGGTTCCTGCGATATTCTGAGGGATTCGGACCAATTCTAAGGCGTCTTGAAGTGTTCTAAAGCTACAGGTTCGCGAGGGATCCTGACGGGGAAACCCTGGGGGAGCCTGGGGGTTCCTGAGGGGCGGCCCAGAGGAATCACGAGGCATCCTGAAGTGATCATGAGGCATCCTGAAGGGTCCAGAGGGTTCCCGAGGAAACCCGAAAGTTCCCGAAGGTTTGTGGGGATCTGAAGGGCTCCTGACAATTCCAGAATATTCCACAGATTTCGTGAAAAACTTCGGGGCCCCCAGAAGCTTTCTGAAGCTTTCTGAGGCACGTTGAAACTCGCTGAAGCACGCCGAAGCTTTCTGAAACTGTCTGAAACTTGTTAAAACGCGCTGAAAGCTCGCTGAAACTCTGAAGCTCGGCTCTCTGAAATTCGCTGAGACTCCCTGAGTCTTTCTCTGAAGCTCTCTGAGGCTCTCTGAAGCTTGCTGGAACTCGCTCAAACTCTCTGAACTTCCCTGACGCTCTCTGTAGCTTTCTGAAGCACGCTGAAGCTCTTTGAAGCTCTCTGGAGCCTTCTGAAGCTCTCTGAAGTTTTCTGAAACACGCCGAAACTGTCTGACACTTTTGTGAAATTCTTTTAGATTATCTGAAACTCTCTGACGCACGCTGAAACTCCTCTGAAACTAGCTGGAACTCTTTGAAACTCGGTGGAACTCCCTGAAACTCTCTGGAGCTCTCTGGAGCTCTCTGGAGCTTTCTGAAGCTTGCTGGAACTTCGTGGAACTCTCTGAAGTCTTCTGAAGCTCTCTGAAGTTTTCAAGCACGCTGAAGCTCTTCGAAGCTCTTTGAAACTCTCTGAAGCTCTTTAGAAGCACGCTGAAACTCGCTAAAGCTTTTTGAAAATCTCTGAAACGTTTTTGAATTCATTGAAGCTCTCTGAAGCTATCGGAAGCACGGTGAATCTCTCTGGAACTATCTGCAACTTTTTGAAACTCTTCGACGCTGTCAAATTATTTTTTCAAACTCTTCGAAACTCTCTGAAGCTCTCTGAAGCTGTCAAAACACCTTAGTATGCTCTCTCTCTACACAAGCTTCAAAACGTCTGGGAACTGTGAAAGAACCTGCAGTCTACCAGGAAACAACCTAGTTTACCGGGACAAAAAAATCATTCCGATTTTCGGGTGGGCAGTAACGGGGGGTGGCCTAGACGGGGGATGGAACAAAAAGACCTTAATGGGGGACCTTTAGGGCCCCTGCTCGCGCTGGCTCCAAAAGGGGCCTAAAAGGGCACCTTCGGGGCTCTTTCTGCACCTCCCACCGCCCGAGATCTTGGTATCCGCATTAGCAGTGTGCTGCGAGTGCCCAGTCTTGCCAACGCCCACCAAGCTGAAGAAAATAAAATTAACGATGCAAGTAATCTGAAAACTACAATAATAATATACGAATGATACTCAGCATAATAGGTGTAGTATTCATTTTGCTAATCGTAATATGCTAATAGTACACATGATAATGATACTACTAATCATACTCATCATTTTAATACTAAGTGGCAGCGAGTAGTACTACTAGTAGAAATAATGATGACAATCGTGATAAACAGAGTAATGCTGCTGAGAAGGATACTACACTTTTTGATCCGCGGGTCGAGAGCGAGCCTCGTCCGGTCGAAGCTAAGCGGGCCGCGCACAGATTTAATCAACAGAGGGAGGAAAACAGAAGGAGAGGCCGCACGTCAAGGCCAAGAGAGGGCAAAGCCCCCGGATCAAGGAATGATACTACACATACCACTAACAATATTCATAATACTACAAACAAAAAAAGAATACTACGACGAATACTACGAACAAAGTAAATGCTAGGAATCATACGGTTTTTATTTATAGTACCGGTAATACCAATACTCCTTATGTTAGTAACATTACTAATGCCCGTTATATTAAGACATTCTTACACGGATACAAGGAATCGTAATGACAAACGAACAAATAGTAATACTGGTGATACGACGAACATGAATCATAGTATTTCGAATATCATGGCGAAAACTACGAAACATAATAAATATACAGTTCAGAATTGCGTTGTCTGATAATAAGGCTAAAACAAATAATACCACAAACAATACTAAGAGTCATGCTAATCATGTTACTAATACTACCACCGTCCAGAAGAAGACGAGACACAGTAATGATAGTAAAAACAAAGAATAATACGTATACTATGAATGCGACTGCTACGAATCATACTAGAAGCGAGAAGGATACTAATAGCACGAAAGAAGAATGTTGCTAATACTAATAATATTAATATTGCGAACATAAGCATACTATTAATACGAATCGCATCATACTATTCATTCTGATAGTAATATTATCACATAGCACAATGGTGATACTAATATATAGAGTAAGGTGCCTTAACATATTAATACTCTTCAACATGCAGAAGCATTGTGCGCATGAGAGTAATAACTATAATATTAAGAATAACAGCATTCACAATAATCATGCTACTTTAAGAAGAGGAGTACTAATACCACTAGCACGGCTAATACATATTGTCATATGTTTCCAAGAGTGTGAACAATGTCTTTAATTACTCAACATCATCATATCAGTACTGATAGCATTTATCATAAGACTCATAATCGTGAGTTATCAGAAGAGCCTCGGGCGCCATCCGTGGAAGCACCTGGCGCGTCCCGAGGTCCCCGCCCCCCGCGGGGAGCCTCGAGCCGCTCGTGTTCGAGCCAGCATGGCTGCCGAGGGGGCAGAGGGAGGAGGGAGGGAGGGAGGGAGGGAGGAAGGGAAGAGGAGGAGGAGGAGGAAGGAGGGAGGAGGGAGAACGGAAAAGTGAGGAGGAAGGAGGAGGAGGGAGGTCGAAGGAGGGAAGGGGGGGAGGAGGGAGGGGGGGAGAGGGAGGAGAGAGGGAGGGAGAGGGAGGGGGGAGGGAGGGAGGAGGACGGTAAAGAGGGAGGGAGGAGGGAGGGAGGGAGGGAGGGAGGGAGAGGGAAGGGAGGATGGAGGGAGGAGGAGGAGGAGGAGGATCGAGGAGGAGGAGGAGAGGAGGTGGAGGAGGAGATCGAGGAGGAGGAGGACGAGGAGGAGGAGGAGGGGGCACCCTGACCGCCCCCCCCCGCTCCTTGATTCTGCGCCCAGAGCCCGCCCGCCCCCTGGCTGCCCTCCATTCTGGGCTTCCTGTATAGGGTCCGAGTCGATGGGGTCGGATGATCGCGCCGCACCGCCGATGCATCGACGATTCGGCTCGATGTGGAGACCGTGTTTCCCCGTGCCGACGTCGCCGATGCATCGCCGACGTTGCCGATGCATCGCCGATGCATCGGCGATGCATCGCCGATGCGGCGCGATCCTCCGACCCCATTGACTCGAACCTCATACAGGAGGCCTAGAATGGGGGGCAGCCGGGGGGCGGTCGGGCTCTGGGCACAAAATCAAGGAGCGGGGGGTGGTTCAGGGTGCCCCCTCCTCCTCCTCCTCCTCGTCCTCCTCCTCCTCCTCCTCCTCCTGCTCCTCCTTCCTCCCCCCCGGAGGAGGCCTCTAACTCCCCCGCCGGGCAAGGTGGACTCGGACCAGGCCTGGAAGGAGCGGGCCGCGGCCCCCGCCGCCTCTGGCGGCTCTCTCTCGGTCGCCGCCGCCGCCACCGTCGTTCCTCCTCGCTCCTCGCCGCCGCCGCCGCCGTTCCTCGTCGTCGTTGTCGTCGTCGTCGTCGTCGTCGTCGTCGTCGTCCTCTTTCTCTTCCTCTTCCTCCTCCTCCTCCTTCTCCTCTTCCTTCGCCACCTCCTGGACTGGACTGGAGACTGCCATGGAACTCGCGAGGCCTGGTGTGCAGGGTGAACTTTCTGCTCCTCCTCCTCCTCCTCCTCTTTCTCCCGAGACGCTGAGACGCTGATGGCACTGGTGTTCTTCGAACGCTACCGCTTCCCCCAGGGAGGCCTGGTCGGGCCCCCCTGGGGGCGTAGCCAACACAGAACAGCTTGGGCCTGAGGCCCCACAGACAAGGAGGGAGGGAATACGGAGGGGACATATTAGCGGCTTCAGGCGCAAAGGGGGCCTGGTGGTTTTTAAGCGTGATCTTTTTCAGCTCCAGACTGGATGATTCGGCGGGCTTTCGGCCCTCCGAGGGTTTCATGCGTCTCTCTCTCTCTCTCTCGCTCTCTCTTCTGTGTGTTTTCGTTCGTAGCGCATTCCTCTTCCTCCTCATCCTTCTCCGTCTTCCTCCTCATCCTGTTCCCGACCATCCTCCTCTTCCTCCTCCTCCTCCTCCTCCTCCTCCTCGTCCTCCGCCTCCTCCCCCTCTCCCCCTTTTCTGAAGGAATGCCAGAACTTTGGGAAAACCATTGGAAAAACCAAAAAAACCAAAGAAACCTAAGTGGTGGAGACGGAAAGTTTAGGAAACCCATTGGAAAAACCAAAAAAAAAAAAACCAAAGATTCCACAGAGAGTGCGGGGAACACCCGTCCGAAGGGACACGTCCAAAGGGAATCCCCGCACTCTCTGTGGAATCTTTTTTTTTTTTTTTTGTTTTTTTTTTTTGGTTTTTCCAATGGGTTTCCTAAAGTTTTCGTTTCCAGCACTTAGGTTTCTTTGTTTTTTTTGGTTTTTCCAATGGTTTTCCCAAAGTTGTTGCATTCCTTCAGAAGGGGGGGATGGGGGAGGAGGGGGAGGAGGAAGAGGATGGAGAGGAGTCGCAGGGAGGAGGTCGCGGGAGGGGTTCGTACCTGCGGCGCTGAACCCTCCCTCTGTGATGCATTCCCACGGAATCCTGTTGAGAGGCCTTCCATGAGAATCCCTTTGGGGTGCTTTCCAAAGGAATCCTGTTGTGAGGCTTTCCAATTGGATCCCTCTGTTGTGCTTTCCAATGGAATCCTGTTGGGAGGCTTTCCAATGGAATCCCTTTGTGATGATTTCCAAAGGGTTCCTGTTGTGAGGATTTCCAAAGGGTTCCTGTTGTGATGGTTTCCAAAGGGTTCCTGTTGTGAGGATTTGTGTTCCAGCGCCATCCTCCCAACGGTAGCAGTTTGGATTGCGGCTTTCCAATAGAATCCCTCTGTTGCGCTTTCCAAAGAAACCATGTTGGGAGGCTTTCCAATGGAACTCCTTTGTTGTGCTTTCCAAAGGATTCCGATTGTGAGGCGTTCCAGTAGAATCGCTGTGTTGCGATTTCTGTAGGATTCCGAATGTGAGGCTTTCCCATAGAATCCCTCTGTTGTGCTTTCCAAAGGAATCCTGTTGAGAGGCTGTCCAATGGAACTCCTTTGTGGTGCTTTTCAAAGGGTTCCTGATGTGAGGCTTTCAAATGGAATCCCTTTGTTGCGCTTTTCAAAAGATTCCAAGTGTGAGGCTTTCCCATGGAATCCCTTTTGTGTAGTTTTCCAAAGGATTTCCTTTGTGACGCTTTCCAATTGAAACCCTTTGTAGCATTTTCCGAAGGGTTCTTGCTGTCAGGCTTTCCACTAGAATCCCTTTGGGGTGCTTTCCAAAGGGTTCCTGTTGTGAGGCCTTCCAACAGACTCCCTTCGGGGTGCTTCCCAAAGGAATCAGATGGTGAAACTTTCCAATGTAATCCGATTGTGAGGCTTTCCCATCGAGTACCTCTGTGGGGCTTGCCACAGGAATCCTGTTGAGAGGCTTTCCAATGGTACCATTGTGGGGCTTTCCAAACGAATCCTGCTGAGAGGCTTTCCAATAGAATCCTTCTGTGGCGCTTTCCAACAGATTCCGATTGTGAGGCGTTCCAATAGAATCCCTCTGTGGTGCTTTCCAAAGGAATCCTGTTGAGATGCTTTCAAATGGAATCCTTTTGTAGCGCTTCCCAAATGAAGACCTGTTGAGAGGCTTTCCAATGGAACTCCTTTGTGGTGCCTTTCAAAGGGTTCCTGTTGAGAGGCTTTCACATGGAATCCCTTTGTGGTGCTTTCCAAAGGGTTCCTGTTGTGAAGGTTTCAAATGCTCTCGGCTAGGTGGGAGAAGGATCGGCGCAGGTTTGACGCAGGACAATGGAAACATGTAGAGAGACAGGGAGAGAGAGAGAGAGAGAAACGGAAACACATCGAGAAAA